GGAGCAACTAAGCCCCGTGCGCCACAACTACTGAAGCCTGCAGGCCTAGAGCCCATGCTCTGCAGCAAGAGAAGCCACCACAATGAGAAGCCGGTGCACTGCCACAAAGTGTGGCCCCCGCTCACCACAACTAGAGAAAGCCTGTGTGCAGCAACGAAGGCCCAACGCAGCCAAAAGTAAATAAATAAATTTATTTAAAAAAATTTTTAAACTTTTGTGTATCAGAAGACACTATCAAGAGAGTGAAAACACAACCCATAGAATGAGAGAAAATATTTGCAAATCATATACCTGATTAGGGATTAATATCAAGAATATGCAAAAAACGAACGACAACAACAAAAACTCCTACAACTTGGCAACATCAGAAAGGCAACCCAATTCAAAAATGGAGAAAGGTCTTGAGTAGACATTTTTCCAAAGAAGATATTCAGATGACCACTTAGCACATAAAGAGATGCTTAACACTGTTAGTCACTAGGGAAATGCAAATCAAAATACAAGATTCTACATCACACCTGTCTATTATCAAAAAACTGAAAATAACAAATGTTGGAGAGGATGTGGAGAAATTGGAACGCTGGGGCATTGCTGTTAGGAATGTAAAATGGTGCAGCCACTATGGATAACAATTTAGTGGTTCGTCAAAAACTGAAACATAGAATTACCATATGATCTAGTAATTCTACTTCCGGATAAATATCCAAAATAATTGAAAGCAAGAGACTCAAACAAATACTTGTACATCAGTGTTCATAGCACCATTATTCACAACAGTCAAAAGGTGGAAACAATCCAAATACTCATCAACAGACGAATGGATAAACAAAATGTGATCTATACATACAATGGAATATTATTCAGCATAAAAAGGAATGGAATTCTGATACATGCTATAACATGGACAAACCTTGAAAACAGTTGCTTAAGTGAAAGAAACCAGGCACAAAAGGACAAATATTGTATGACTCCACTGACAGGAAGTACCTAGAACAGGCAAATTCATAGAGACAGAAAGTAGAATAGAGATTACTAGGGCCTGGTTCCCTCCAGGGGATGGAGAGTCAGTGTTTAACGAGTAAAAAGTTTCTGTTTGGGATGATGACAAAGATCTGGAAACGGATGACGGTGACGGTTGCACAACATTGTGAATGTACTTTGTGCACACTTAAGAATGGTTAAAATGGTCAATTTTATGTCATGTATATTTCACCACATTTTTAAATTTGCAAAATAAGTAACTTTTACTGCTGACTGGGAAAGAAAAGATAAACTTCCTCTCCTGCACTCCAGATGACATTCAGAGTTGACAATAGTAAGGAAGGCTTTCTTTAAGAGACAATATAGCAGCGGGAACAGTTAAGAGGGTTGGAATTTGCATTTTAATAGCCCGAGTTCAAATTCCAACTCTGGGGCTTCCCTGGTGGCGCAGTCATTGAGAGTCTGCCTGCCGATGCAGGGGACACGGGTTCATGCCCCGGTCCGGGAAGATCCCACATGCCGCATAGTGGCTGGGCTCGTGAGCCATGGCCGCTGAGCCTGCGCGTCCGGAGCCTGTGCTCCGCAACGGGAGAGGCCGCAGCAGTGAGAGGCCCGCGTACCGCAAAAAAAAAAAAAATTCCAACTCTGCCCTTACGTGCTGTGGGACTCTGGACATCTAGCTAAGCTCCAAGCAACTCACCTGAAATTGCCTGTAAAACGGTGAGAATAATGGTCCCCACCCCATGATGCTTTGTGCATATGAAGTAAGATAAGGCTTTGACATACTTAACTCAGTGTCTGCCACATAGCTTAAAAATGCAAAAGTATAATTCTGGTTATTGGTGTTATTGGGTGTTACTGTCATTATTACCTTAAAGTACTTTGGACACTTTGACTGTCTTGATTACTTCTTTTTTTTTTTTGGCAGTACGCGGGCCTCTCACTGTTGTGGCCTCTCCCGTCGCGGAGCACAGGCTCCGGACGCGCAGGCTCAGCGGCCATGGCTCACGGGCCCAGCCGCTCCGCGGCATGTGGGATCCTCCCAGACCGGGGCACGAACCCGTAACCCCTGCATCGGCAGGCGGACTCTCAACCACTGCGCCACCAGGGAAGCCCTTGATTAGTTCTTTTGATTACTTTTCATATCATTAAGGAATGAGCTGGAGGAAATTAATCAGGGGGCATTTTCAACTCTGAAATGGAAAACCCTGATCCTTGTTCCCTTAAAACAATATTTTCTAATTATGCAAGGTATAGTTTTCCTGGCACTTTCTGATCTCTCTCCAATGGACTTGGGTGCCATCAATCTGGCCCTCTTTGCTCTCATTATCAACTGGATAAATTTAGAGAGGACAGTCCTTTAAAGGAGAGAGGATTCAGCAGAGGCTAGTCCCTGGTACGAAAAATCCATCTTAAACAGCAGAGAAAGCTGAACTGCCAAATGTCCAGCCCTCCAGGTTCATGTGGCTGTAAAACCCATGCTGGCTGAGAAGGTTCCTTCTTCGTGGGATCCATGCTGTGCCTGTATGACATTTATATAACGTCAGCCCCTGACTGAGGAATGATGTACTTCTGGCGCATAACTCCTAGCGCTGCCTTTTCCTTCGGCCGGTGGTGCAGCAGGCTTACTTGGAAAGACTCAGAAGGCAGGCTCGGCATTTTCCTTCTGATGAATTAGCATCTACTTGGTCACGGCTGAGAGGACTGACTTACTCATGGCTTCTGCATCCAAGTTCAGTTTGGGAGACCAACGACCCTCTTTCTAATTTGACCCTGCCATTAATTCCTGTGTGACCTTGGACAAGTCACTTAAACACAAATCCATAGTTGCCTCAGAGGTCAAAGTTCTACTCTTGGGTGAGGTAGGGGCCATTTAGGAAAGCATAAAGTGTATACACACAAATGTAAGTATTATGATTTTTCTCCCTTGGGGAAAGAATATTGATGCAGTTAAAGATCCATGAGAATATTAGTTGTGAGGCTCCTCAGGGGTTCAAACAGCTCCTTTCACAGATGGTGAAATGAAGGCTCAGAGAAGCTAGCGAGTTTTCTAAGTAAGGGACAAAACTAGGCTTAGACACCAGCTTTCATGACTTCCAGCCAGGGCTCCATGAGCCCCTACGTGATGTTACTGAACCCCTGTAACATCACAGAGAGCCCCTCCTCTCTGTTACTGAACTCAGGCTCAGCTGCCCACCCCTCAAAAGCCAATAATTCAAGGGGCAAGCATCAGTAGAAAGGAAGGTCGCTGTAATCATTAAAGCCGGCAGTCTGGGGAAAAGGTGGACTTGTGTCCTGAGACCAACTCCAAAGTTTCTGCTCAGCCATGACAGTTTTTAAAGGGAAAAGCAGTGTGTGGTGTGTGTGTGTGTGTGTGTGTGTGTGTGTGTGTGTGTGTGTGTGTGTGTGTGTTGGGGTGGGGGGGGAATCTCAGTGAATCATGGGGCAGGAGGTTGGGTTCTGCATCCTTCTCTGTTGCGTGCAGGCTGGCTGACTCTCTCTTCAAATGTTATGTTGCCTGCAGGATCTGCCTGCAGGATTTCTAAGGGGGCTGTTGGGGGTAGAGAGCTAGTCATTCTTTACTTAATTCTTCATTCTTACTTCTTTTAATCTAGCGTAGAATCAACAGGTTAGGCAAGGCATGGTGTGCATTCAGAAGAGCATAAGTCAGGAGTTAGTTTAAATTGCCTAGTAATCTCATTCCTACGATTAGGTTCTTTCAAGGTTAGAGGGGAATAGACATGAGCAAACAGGAAAGGGGCAAAAGAGCTGCTTTCATCTCCATGACTTTTCTGAACTTTTTGGCTTTGACACTCACCAGGCATGTCATCCTCTTTTCTGTTACCCTAACGTGTTTAGGGCACTGCACTGACTGTTCTACCTGCTATTAAAACATGAATAATGCAGAGTTGTAAATTGACTTATGGATGTAAGGTCTGTTGGCCCAGGTGAAAGGAGGCCCGGGGGGTAAGAGAAAACATCGACCAGTGTAAGGAAGGAGAGGCATTGGGACATAACGACCTCACCTGTTCTGGGAATCAACAGGAGACTCTGACTTCATGACCAGAGACAATGGGGCTGACGGGAAGGGAAGTGGGCTTACGCCCCACAAGAGACCAACCAACACCTGGCCCTGCTGTATCCTCACCAAATAAGGAATTACCCTGTATAGCAACGCCCCCCCACCACCACCACCCGCTGCAAATCACCCTTCCCTTACACCTCAGTAAAAATCTCCCATGCTTAGGACTAGGCGCGACTTCCCTGGCCCCTTTCTCTCGGACCAGTGAACCTCGCCCGGGAGCGCTCCCTAATAAATCTCACTTGAAGCTTTCCTTTGTTTCGCGGTGCCGTTTGTTAAGCTCTGACCTTACAAGAGCCCTCAGAAGTGAAAGATGTGATAGCACAAAGAAATACTTTGAAAAGTATGAAAGGGTTGGAAGATGAGATTGACAAAAATTCCTAGAACAGAGTAAAAAGACAAAGGCATGCAAAATAGGAGAGAAGAAAAAACTTTTTTTGAATAGAGAATCTACATCTGGATAACAAGAGTTTTAGAAAGAAAGAAAAGAACAGAAAAAAATGGAGGGGAAAAATCACTCACTTAAATAATTCAAGAAAATTCTCCAGAACCAAGCAGCATGAGTTTCCAGCCCCAGTGGGCCAGAGCAATGACCAAGGCACATGGTCATGGCATTTGAAAAGGCTGGTTCAAAGAAGTTTCCCGAGGTTGCCAAGAGAAAATGTGGATCCTATGCAAAGAGTCAGAACAGAGTGGCTTTTCAGTAGCAACTCTAAAATCTAGAAGACAGTAATGTCTTTAAAATTCTGAGGAAAATGATTTCCAATCTGGGATTCTATATCCAGCATTTATATATAACATCTCCAAAAGTAGTAATGATAATTCCTTTCTCAGAAACCTAGTGAAAAAAATGCTCAAGTAAACTGAAAGGCTAAATCAGGAGTGTTGAATACATGTGCTATGAGAAATAGAGTATCTACTACCAAGGACAAAGGGGATGGTCGTGGGGTGTGAGGAGACCCAGAATGAGAGCTGGTTTCCCTGCGATCAGGAGCAGAAGGGCGGGTTTGAAGGCCCCAGGAGCTTCGAACTCCTGGAAGGTAAAATTGCTAGCTTACCTGATGAGAATGGATGTCATTACTAGCCAAAAACTGAAGGTAAAATTATTGACAAGAACGTGGAAAACTGAGCAAATTTTTAGAAGGCAAGTATTAACTTCATGGAAAACAAAAAGTTGTGCAGTAAAGGAAAAAAAATTTATAGAATATATATTACATGTTTCAGCTGTGGAAGCTATTTGGCATGATCATTCATGACATTGGAAAAAAACAAATATTGAACTATCAAAAATCATTGAGAAATTCAGAGACAGGAAGTGTGTATAGTTTGTGTAGTGGTAGCGAAAGCAGGGAAGGGTGACCAAAGAGGTATATTCTCATTTTGCTTGAGATAAATAGCTAACATGCCTAAATATGACAAATCAGTACATAACATGAGAAGCGTATTATTTAGGTATCTGGAGGTCCCCAAAGAATCAGCAATGAGTCAACAGTGGTGGCCTATGGCGGGAGGGAAATGGGAAGAAATGAAGGGAAGCAAGTTCCTGCTCTGTTTTTTTTCTAGCAGCAGAATACCTTTGTTTTTTGTTTTTCATTTTTTTGTTTTGTTTATTGAAGTATAATTTACAATGTTGTGTTAGCTTTAGGTGTACAGCACAGTGATCCAGATATATAGATATATATACTTTATCAGATTCTTTTCCCTTTAGGTTATTACAAGACACTGAATACAGTTCCTTGTGCTATACAGTAGGTACTTGTTGTTTAGCTATTTTATACATAGCAGTGTGTATATGTTAATCCCAAACTCCCAATTTATCTCCTCTCACCCCTGCTGTCCCGTCTGATAACCATAAGTTTGTCTTCTGTTTGTGACTCTATTTCTGTTTTGTAAATAAGTTCATTTGTATCATTTTTTAAGATTGCTCAAATTAGTGATATCATACTATATTTGTCTTTCTCTGTCTGACTTACTTCACTTAGCATGATAATCTCTAGGTCCATCCATGTTGCTGCAAATGGCATTATTTCATTCTTTTTTATGGCTGAGTAATATTCCATTGTGTATATATACCATATTCTCTTTATCCATTCATCTGTCAATGGAAACTTAGGTTGCTTCCATGTCTTGGCTATTGTAAATGGTGCCGCTATGAACATTGGGGTGCACGTATCTTTTCGAATTAGATATTTCTCCGGATGTATGCCCAGGAGTGGGATTACTAGATCATATGACAACTCTGTTTTTAGTTTTTTGAGGAACCTCCATACTGTTCTCCATAGTGGCTGCACCAATTTACATTCCCACCAACAATGTAAGAGGGTTCCCTTTTCTCCACACCCTCTCCAGCATTCATTATTTGTAGACTTAATAATGGCCATTCTGACTGGTGTGATGTGCTCTCTTTTTGTACCAAATTTTGCAGAACTCTCGATTCTTTAAAGTATATATATATATATATATAAATCTATCAACAGTCATGCATAGTACAGGGAGTTTTAAATTTCCCTGAGCCACACATGACCATGGGAGATATGGAGTTTGTTGGATAATCAGAAGTTGTTGTCAGCAAAACTTGACACTTGAAGGCATAGCCTTGGAAATAATAGACTAAGTGGGGGTCTCTCAGTTCTGGCTTTCTTGCCAACAAAGCCTTGGTATACAAAAACCTGCAAGGCATGTGTAAGAGTTTTATGGCATGATATCAGTACCCCAGATGCTCTGGAGAAGGCTTTGGGATGAAGGTAGTTAGGACACCCTCTTCTAAGCATCCCTGGTTGTTGAACACAAATTCCAGACTCTGGAGCACGAGGGCACAAGGTAGAATTGAGTGCAGATAGCTACATTTTCCATCTTATATTTTTGCTTTTCTTACTAAGGTGGTAACTGGGGAATTGTGAAGCTTCTTAACCAAGGCACATAGGAAAAAAGTCTGGGAAAAAAGACCATTACATTTTTTTTTTTTTTTTTTTTGTGGTATGCGGGCCTCTCACTGTTGTGGCCTCTCCCGTTGCGGAGCACAGGCTCCGGACATGCAGGCTCCGGGGGCGCAGGCTCAGCGACCATGGCTCACGGGCCCAGCCGCTCCGCGGCACGTGGGATCCTCCCGGATTGGGGCTCGAACCCATGTCCCCTGCATCGGCAGGCAGACTCTCAACCACTGCGCCACCAGGGAAGCCCAAGACCATTACAAAATAGCAACGGCAGCCTTGTAAGGTAGCCTTACGACATGTAATTTATTTTCCTCCTTATTTCCTACATATGTCTTTAAATTTAGGAATACTTAAAAAAAATCCTAATACACTCGCTTTTTTTTTTTTTTTTTCTTACTGAAACTAACATTTACTTACATTATTTCCAATAACTCCAAGTTCTATTTTCTGCTTGCATAACCCACTCGAGTAAAACATGGTTGCCAGGGAGACCTGTCTTTAAATTAATCAGCACACATCTTATGGAAGGTTGCCTTAAAAACAAAAACTTAAAGTGACTCTTAAGTCTCAATTTAAGAGAAAATTTTCCAAGGAGTCGCACTTAGAGAAACCCTTGTTCTGCAACACCAGGAGGAAAGTTAGGGGAGACTCTTCTGAAAAATCCTTGCATTTTGCTGGCGCTTCCCTCTCTGCTCGCCTCCATCTCGCATGAGCCACTGGAGTCTTGTAACTTCCTCTGAACTTCATTCTCACTCCGTATTCGGCACCCCAGCAATAAAATTAATGGGTTGAGCATTTTCTACCTAATAAGCGCTGCAGATATAAATGTCTCAGCCATTTGTCTTTTCTAGTGGGGGTTCCCATTTTGGTTAACATTATCATTTAAATTGCATCTCACAAGTTACTAGATTAAGGAAGAGGGGCTGTTTGAATAGGTTACACTTTGCTTTTTTCATTCAGGAGACTGTTTAGAGTCTCAAATCAATTCCAACTGACTTTCTAAAATGTGTTAGGGGAAAAAAATACATTGTGATAAAGAGCAATGGCAGTGCAAATACCAGGAAGGAAAACAGACATTCAGTTTGTTTCAGC